ACACCACATTAGTGTACCACTACAGAGTTTCTCTGCCTCTGCATCTCTGTCCTGGGAGACTGCTGCAGAGCTACATCAGGAATCTTGCAAATATGCTAAACTGTGTTGCAAAAACTATAAAGTGCTGACTCTCAGAATTCAGGACATTGTTTGCTCCCAATGGGGAGCAATTGTAGAAATGGTTCCTGTACAGTACATATGCAGCTTCTTCACCTGTGTCTGTACTGTATATCCATCAAAATATCTCCGTTGTCTGTCTTCACTCCGGCTGTCTGTACAATGAGTAAACCGAGTAAAGAAATACACTCAAAGATCCTTTCTCTCTCTTACATATATACAGTGCATACAGTATATTCATATATGTGTGTGTGAATACCATATACATATTTCTGTAGCCTTCCTTTGAATATACTTGAACAGTGTTTGTGTATCTGTTGCGGGGCTTATGTGTGCACAAATGTGCAAGTGACTATGCAGTTTTGTTTTGGAAGCCTCTCAGTGTGTGAAATGCCGTGGGTTGAATCTCTCCAGTGAGAGTAACGAGGGAGAGAGACCACTGGAGAGCAACAGACACAGTTTCTGGCCCAGAAAAGGTTCCAATATTTTTTTTCCCTCTATCTGTGGGAGGAAAGAAAGCCATGGCAGAGAAAACAACAACAAATGATCAACTGTGCCTCTTTTTTCTGCCACCCCTCTCACTTTCCATCTCTAGTAGTCTCACATTGTCAAACCCTATTCCCACACTACATGTGCACTGTTCCATCCCAGCAGAAACCATCTCTAGATAAAGCATATCATTAAAAAAATCTTTTACTGTTAGTTTTTCTTTCTATGAATGCAACCCAAAAAAATGAGGTGAAACTGAGCAAAGTTTGTTACAGTGAATGCTATGTATGGCTTTACAATGATAAAATATTATTAGTAAGGGGGTATAAGAGATTAAACAGCTTGGTTTTCTGATGTACCAGTGACCAAAAATGTCATATGCAGGCTCCGATTAGTCAGTTCTAGTTCATATTAATTCAATTATGCAGCTATAATAACTTGCATATGAACAGAAAATAGAGGGACTTTCACAGATATCAAATCCAAATCACTAGGAGTTCAGTCACAAAAGCCTGGAAAGGAGACACTTTTACAGACAAAAGATCTTAAAACTTCTCGATTTCATATGCCTGGAAGTATTTTATACCAAATAGCCTGTAAAATGGGGGGGATTTCATTGAGAGGGAACAAAGTGAAATTTAAAATGCACTGTATGTAGCATGAAGCAACAGAGACAAATGCATATCCATCCACATAGACCATTCAGAGGTGGGAGAGTGTGGACTGAAATTATTATTTAAAATTAAAACCCCAAAGCTTCTACTGTTCTACTAAAGGGGACTGTAGAGATTATCTTAGTTTGAACTCGACCAGGTTCTCTGCCAGGTCTTTTTACCTGTTATTTTCATATCAAACAAGTGCAACACCTGAAGGGACACATGATATATTATTCTCTTGTGGCTTCACAACCTTTCTGTGATCCATTAACAAGAGAGGGCAGGTCTCCTTAAGGTAGTTGAGTGCATGGATTTTTCTCTAAGCAAATGTATTGCAACATTAATGGATTATAAACCTTATAAAAACAGTATGTCCTGTAAGAATAACATTCTCCTGACACTGTGGCTTTTTTAAATTGATGAGACTATTATTTTTCCTCCCTTACCCTTATCAGAGACTGTTTATTAAATGGTAAAGTTTCTCTTGCATGTTTTTTTACACCTATGACAGACAAAAACATGCACATACACACGAGCCAACTTGGTATCCTACCAGCACCCATCTCCTATGTACGGCCATCCCCTGGAGGTTCTGGACTAACTGTTTAGAGTTCCTGACTGAGGCAGTAGAGCCCTACTCTGACGAAGTGGGAGGTGCACGCACACTTCATCTTCCTGCGCTGACAGTTCCGCACTTCTCCACAAGTCAGCATCTTTGAGGTAGAGTGTGGCAAACATAGAAGGCAGGGAAAAAGAAGGGAAAGAAGGTGGGCTTAGCAGAAAACTTGGGGAGTTCAGCATGTCCTTGAAACTTTATTGACTGACAATGCAGTGTCAGGGTGCTGTTCAGCGACTGCTTTCACCTAGTATTGTCATCATGCTGATATGATGCATTGAGCTTCCCTGGTACTGGATGCAATACATTAATTATTCTGCAAGATGTTTACAACAGCGTGCTGATTGGAGCTCATCCAACTCACCCAGAGGGGTAATTTAGTCTTATAGTATTTGTCAGGCACCCGCTCTCATTTAGAATAAGTAAATGTTTATATAACCATCAATCACTACTGAGTCTGCTCTCGCCAGCTAATAGTTACCGGCCTAATTGTTTGACTATAATACTGTGGCTAAATGTAAAATGGGCCTCTCGCTGAAGGGATTCAATAAAACATTGTCTTCTTATTAGATAACCATGTATGCTCTCCACTAAGTTAAGCCTGCTATCCTCTCTTCTGAAGTGCAAATGTGATTCCAAACATGAGATGGAGAAAAGTCTGTTATTGAACAATCTGCAGAGGCTGCAATGAATGTCACAAATACTGCAAATAAAGAGATTTACGTATCTGCTAAAGCTATACTGTTGTCATTTGATGAATAAAAATGGACACACTTTTGTTTACACTTCTGCCGTCATGTGCAACATCGGAATTGAAAGTAATCTATTCATTTTAGTAGCATGCATCTGTATGATGTTAGACAATCACTGAATGATGCTAAGCTGGTATGGAATTGATGTTTAATGACTACACTTTGTTTTAATTAGTACCCTTATGCCAGGGAATGTAAAGCATTTGGAACAACTATTACAGTAATGAATTTATCAGATATTGCTACAATGAAGGTGTAAACTCAACTCAGGCAAACCACAAAATACACTGACACACAATATAGCAGTCCCTCTCTCCCTGACAGTCACATACTAAATGCAGCATGACAAGCTGCTGCAAGAGGCTTGGCATGCTGGGTATGTAATCCTCCTGTAATGTGTTCTTTTTTTGGTCTCCCCTCCTGCTTCCTTCTTGCAGCTGCTCAAAGTGCAAGCACATCTAAAATGTGTGATGTAGACTACTGTGGGCACAATGGGACCTCTTCAAGCCCTGTGCCAGCACACCGTTATGTACTTTTCATAAGTTGCCAGTACTGTAGTGCAACTTGGTCCTTGTCCAGACAACACCACTGTGCCTAATTGGTCCTCACTGCTGATGCCTGGCACGAACAAGGATTCTAAAAGGCCCAGTTAGAGCGCAAAGAACAGATCAACATTTATGATTAAAAAAAAGTACTGAGTGCTTAGTTCATGTTTTTCACTCTTGGATGCACTGATAATATGACACTACTCTCACACCTGACCTCTCAAGGTGTCAGTGCCAGTTTAAATTTGCAGATGTACGTCTCTTTATAATCATCTTCTCTTTTTTTCTTGTGTTATTTTAAATATGAAATTAATCCAAATATCGGGGACACTGCTAAATTAACACTCTTGCGTACTGGGACGTACTGCAGAGCCCAGGTTAACAATTTATAACATTTTATGTAGCTGCTGGCAGTCCTGTTCAGTCGGTGCCAAACTGTCAGAAGCACAGAAGTGGAGTATTACTACTGAAACTAAATGGAACCAAAGAAATCAAATGGGCAAAATGATGTGCTTAAAAAAACAACAAAAAAAAAAACTCTGCTAATAACTTGTTCTGACAAGATGGATATGAGGAATGAGGAGTCTAACTTTTCAGAGCCACTTAGATGAGGGCAAATGTTGATACTCAAAAGCCAGATTTTGCATGGAGCAGCACTTCACTGGAGCTTGTCTCTTAATAGCACTTGAGAGCACTTTCTTTCCCTGAGAATGGACAAAAGTGATCTTTGCATTTGAAAATACTCAACTACACTCTTAATACAGCTTGCACACTTCATCGTGATGGTTCATTATATACTGATAAAGCCCATTTTGAGAAAGGATTATTATTTAAGGCCGAGACAGTCTGGAAGTTCTTCTTGGTAAACAGACATTGTGATATCACTGAGCAGAATGACAATTACATGCATTATGCAGTGTGGATGATTTCCCATTCCCCACCTTACTTTAACAAAACCTTATGAAAATGCACTCAACCTCACCTGCTGTCTTCAGTTGCATTGTCACCTCAAAGGGTATATAAACTGAAGAAAGTCTGATGAGACTTACAGTATCTGTGTGGTACAATATGCATGTCTGTGCAGGTGTTAACTGTGAACATTAATAAACATCTTGAGATTTATAAATGTACTGTTTGGGGAGGGTGCACCTTTAAGGTGTCATGTTTGTGTGTTGGGTAGTGTTTTTGAATCAAGATGAGTCTCCTTTGCTCCTTGAGCTATAAACAAAGGTCAACCCATTCTAAGCACTGACAATACAACACACCCATGAAATAACAGTGCCCACTTGTTGAGCCTAATGAAGAGCTACACAACCTGTTTGATCTTCCACACCAGGAAGCCCAGAGGCACAGACAGTATAACATCCTTACAAATTCAGGAAAACATAAAACCACCCGACAGCCTTACAAGATGGCACAATATGTGCAGTGATGGAGTTACAAAGGGTATATGCCAGGTTGTTTCTCATGCTTACAGCTTGTCCCATACGTTTACCCTTGTGTCTTTAGGCCAAGTCAGGCACCTCTGTACAGATGGAGCAAATAAAATTCTAATTCAGTGGATTTCTAAAAATGAATTTAGGCATATGGCAGACACATGGAAAACCTCAACTTTTACTTTACCCAAGTGAGCAGCCACACCTCTCTTTGTGGATGTTGACTGAATTCTTCAATGCAGGCCCTCAAAAGTGATTTTCAATTTCCACTGTATTTGTCTGCTTTAAGTGCTAGCAGCAAAATGTTTCAATTTCGTAAGGATTCAATAAAAAATAAGTAAATAAAAAGAAACAACTATGGCATTTTAAAAAATAAAGAATAGGCATGCTCATATTTGAGGAAACTTTATTTACAAAGACAATTAAGAGATTCCCATTCTTCTGCCTGGACAGAACTCTGATATACAAATATGCTCCACTTGATGACCTGCAGGGAGAACAAGGAAACAGGGAAAGAAGTGGTAAGATGCCTCACACAGACCTGATGACAGAAAAGCAATTTCTGACTTAACACTAGTGAAGATAAATATGACAACTACTCTGACCTGCTCTCACCTGATACACATCAGTGTCTGCAATACAGACAACTATTAAGTTACTAAAATGCTAATTTATCTAAACATAGCAGCAATATGAACCCACATGAGATTTGTTAGTCATTCTCAGACATACAAGTAATTTAAAATATGCATTTGAGCAAAAAGTTAAGAGGAACACTTGTCTAAGGCCAATGATCAGACCAAGGCTGAAGTAAATGTCACATCAGCCTGATGTTTTATTGATAAAATGCAAAATAAACATGCCTGCCATAATTACCTTGAAGGCTGAGTAATAGCACTGGGCCATTTTATTTCTTCAGGATCTGATGTCTGACGACGATGAAGGGGAATAGAAAGCCACTGCCAAAGAACACCACCATCATGCCCAGCAGGCGCCACTTGTTTTCCACAGAAAATGGCAGGTTCTGCCAAAACAGAGTATTAAAATGCAGTGAGACTAAGAAATTCAATCCACTCCTTACATTATTATGAATTAGTGAACAATTATTTTTATTCCTCCCTGCAAAAAAACATTCATTTTTGATACAAATATAAAATTTATATACATACATACATACATACATACATATATATATACATACATACATAAATCAGGTCACAAAGTGTAGCAATGACTCAATAGGTATTTTACATTTCCATTTCTCCCCCTGCTATGTGAATGGATTATTTGACTGTCAAAGTGAAACAAAATCGCCATGCTTTTGACTTTCTAAGTAATATTCAGAAAATCTGAAGCATTTCCACATAGTACAAATATTTGACTCTTAGTAAGGTTAAACAGCACATTTCTGATCTGTGGATAGAATATAACGTTAACTGTGACCTTAATTTATTGATACTAGCCATAAATACAAAACAGCTCGGTCGAGTAATTGATATCTAGGTTACGTTATAATAATGCACGCATTACAGGGTTTGTTAATGTACTAGTGTATTTAGATATCTTAATCACAATAACATATTTGACTGTTAGACTACGTTAGCTGACAGCATTGTCTTAATTCTTTATAGTTGCTGTCTAACTTGTTAGCATCGATATAGTTTGCTAGCAATACCTGCCACTTATGCTAGCCTTAAAGCTAATGCTAACCAACAGCTTAAGTTAACGCTATATTCCCAAACTGCCCATCAACAAATCAACAATTTGAAATGTTTTGTAACTTTGTAAAGGCGAAAACGGCCGCTTCTCTGGCTAGTTAAAAAAAAATCTTTTTGCAGAATGACAATGACGCTCTTGTCAAGTGACAGATATGACCTCCAAGTAGCTAACGCTAACGCTAGGCGGTGGACACCGACAAGGCCTCGTCTCGCAAAATATCATATTAAAAATAATAATGCTGCTTTAAGAAGATAATCTCACCTTCCCTGGTCCCTCAGCATAGTGAGAAGAACGAATAGCAGACGTTGCGAATCGTCTCACAGCTTGTCCCAGCATAATTACGATCAGAATTCTCCTCTTCCTCAGTACAGCGTCAATTAAACTAAACTTGCGACCTTCCTTATTGTGTGAGCTGCAGGACAACGCAAAGGATTGTTGGAAATAAAAACTAGCCTACAGTGTATGGGAGATGTAGTTCATGTATTTCAGAGGCGGCCACAGAGCAAAAATCTCTCTTAATTGTGCTAGGTGATGGCTATTAGAAATGTTGGATTAAATTTGCCATGATATAAATATCTAGTGTGTGAGTAGGGTATGTGTACTAAGTACAATGCTGCGGATGCCCCTCTGAAGCTATGTTTGCCTGGTTTACACTATTGCCTTAGAGTTCATTTATCACATTTAGAAAACTGCTTCAGACTGTGTGCTCAATCATACTTAGACATTGATCAATCCATGTTCTTCTCTTGATAGATCAACTTTGAAGACCTGAAGTCCCCCACCTTTGTAAGAACTAAGAATTAAGAATGAACTAAGAATTAACCAATCTTGCTGAAATGATTGAAGACACAGTGGGTATGAATTGCTGTTGAAATGAGCCAAATACAGTCAAGGCCACTAATATCTTCTCATTCCACTGGAAGTATATACTGTTAGAGATATGGTATTTGAACTTGCATGTGCATTCTTTACCTATGACAAAAAAAGAACTACAGTATTGTATGAGAATCTGTTTGCATTCATTACAAATACACCAATCACTGCTATGGAAATATCTATAGCAGACATACTGTATTAACAGACATATTGACTAATGGTATGACCAAAGACCATAATTCCATTTCACATGGTTCACAAAACATTGAAATTCCTGTCCATGAATACAACAAAAATAAAGAGCTATATTTTCACTGAATCGGCTCAGTGCAAAGATACTATGCCTACGCTATCTACAGTAACTTGAAGACTGAATGCAATCAATTGTGGTCATTATTTGGCCTATCAGCAAAAATTATTTTTTATTTACTTTAGGGATTAGGTAAGTTCCATGCTGAGGATATTACTGCAATTAAGTGAGTGTGTGAGAAGTGTGAAATGACAATGCTGTGATGCTAAAGGAGACGGGGCTCAGCTCCGGTGGGCTCAGTCTGCAATCTTCACTTGACTTGTTTCTCATTTTTCATGTCCTAGTACCCACATTATCTAATTATCATGTGCAGTATTCCCTTGAAGATAGTTTAAATATGCATCCTTGCTGTGTCTGTTTGCATTCACAGTGATTCTTGCTTTGGAATGGAGTACACGTGTCTGTATTTGCAGCTTGTAAGAGAACAGTTTAAGAAGAAGCTTTATTTATTGTCATTGTAACACTACGACACCTACAACAAAATTATGTTTGGAGCCGAGGGCCCCGGCGTGCATCATGGGCAACGGGGGGTTCAGTGTCTTGCCCAAGGACACGTTGACACGTGAACTGTAGGCACCGAGATTCAAATCTTCAACCTTCCGGTTGGGAGACAATTCTACCCACCGCACCACTTTCGCCCCCAAAATAGCTAAGTTGACTCGTACAGGGAACCCGTGAGCTTGGCATTATTAGCACCACGCTCTAACCAACTAAGCTAACCGGCCACAATAAGCAATTCATTTTCAGTTTTTTTCAGTTACTTGTTTGGAACTCTGTCACTCATCAAACAGTAAGCAAGGACATAGGTTTGACACTTAATGTTGTCAAATGCCTTTTGTTTTATTTTTTCATTAATGAGTTGTCAAGAAAAGTGACACATTTGCATAGCGTCATCATCACTTGTCATGTGAGACATATGGCAAGATTAAATAGTCTGGCCCTGTCCTAAAACAAGACAGTCCACCTGCCAGCAATTCTAAAGCTCATTAATTAACATAACAATCTGACATACAAATATTGTTATGTTTTGGTGTCAGAGTAGCTGTTTCCTTCTGTCCCCAGTCATGCGCTAACTAGCTGCTAGCTCCAGTTTACCTTGCAGGCATGAGAGTAGTTCTGCATAGCCTTTCTGCAAGAATCTGAATTCACAAATGTGACATGACAACCTTTCTTAAGTCAGAAGTGAATCATTTTTATCACCAACAAAGTCAATTCAGACAATGAAGACATAGCTTTTTCTTTTCTTTCTTCTGATGATCTGGGACAAAACTAATTCATGAGGCCACCTACATGTCAACTGTGCACCAGATTTTTTTAAATGGTTTTCTTGATGTGTTGCAGTTTCACATTGACAAATTATTTACTTATCCAACACAGAACATAAAACATTTTGGGTAAAAAAGGTAATTTAAAAGAATCATATCACAAGAATTCACTTCTGGTGTTTGAAAGCAACTGGGACTACGGGGGATGTAATGAATAAAACTGTTTGTTTCCACTGTTTTTCTAATAATGAAACAGACTATTTATAGTAATTTTATGTATGCATCATTTTAATATGTTGCACATCCAATGGCCTCAGAACATTTTCTGAATGCAGACAAAGATTTATTGCAGACAGAAGAGTGGAATACTCTCTGTTATGAATGAGCTGGGAAAGATATGATTCATCATGGAACAACTTATAAAAGCTGTTCGCTAAATTAAATCCTGTGAGATCACTCACTTGTTTGAAGTCCACCTTGGGAATACTTTCCAAAGTGCTATTTTCAGTATTTGGGAAGATAGAAAAGTAGGTCTCTAATGCTTTACTTTTTACATAGCAGATGAATCTTGGGTGAATACCACAAGTTAGTGTCCTTTATGCTTAGCCTTGAATACATACACAGTTGCATTACAATGAAGACAAAGTTTCCTGTGGCCTTGACCTCCAAACACATCACATTATTGTTATTTACTGTGTGTGGTAGTTCCATGCTTAGTGTTAGTGGATCATGTCCCAGCATGAGATGAGTGTTTTTTCAATGTTGTCTGCTAGTAAAATGCATAATCTGTTGAAAAGCAAGGACTGGGATTTATCCCCACCACATTGTCATCAGATGTTATTTTAAATACCGTCCATCCTACTTGATGCTCACAGATTCATCCATCCTCACCATCTAGTGTTAGTTGTGTTGACTGTTTTAATTTCTTGCTGTTGACTTTTCCCTGGCTTATGAGCAAAGCTAGTTTTATCCAGAGTGCACTGTCAATAGACATATGAGAGGGTGGAAAAAAAAGGAGTGCAAACATAACATGTACACAAATACACAAGGCTGCCATCTTAAATAATGAAACACATTCTCATTTAAGCCTGCCAAAAATTCAGTGAACCCCAGGCTCAGTCATATTTGCAAACAAACTTTTAATCAACTATGTACATGACTGTGCATAATAATATAGCATTCGTACAGTACAGGGTAACATCATCAGTAGCTTGATTCACACAGTCATTACAAACAAACTGTGACTATATGGAATAAATATATGAATGTTGTTTGATTCCAGGATTTAAAAAATGTTCAAAATGCTATTTGCAGTTCTCAACAAGTCTGCTACAGTGTGTGATGAATAACAGGCTAGACTGTCAAAGTAAATAGCATCTCTCTCCCTGTCTAGATGTGCAGTAATGTTCCACAAAGGAGTGGCGAGGTAATGGATAATGTTAATCAGTGAGGACAGTTCATTTTGGCAGCAGTGCTCTAGGCTTTAAGGCGTCTCGCATCATTGCCGCTGACAAGAGCTGATTTGCACAATTACAGAGTTTCTGGGATGTTAGAGAGAATAGTCAATTCTTATTTGCCCTGAAACTATTTTTTTCTGTTTTCATGGGCAACGACAAAAAAGATTGCTTCATCAGATGTTAGTCTTTCATCTGTTCATCTGTTTTTGAGGGACTGAGAGGAAGGATTGATCACATAACTGTTCTGTCCATTTCTTTGCTCTGCTGATTATTTCTCTATATCTGTACCTGTCAGTCTGTTTTATGGCCAGAATCAGTTATGGCATTTAAGTGAAATTCTTATGTGTGTATACAGTAAATGCACATGCATGCAAAAACAAACAAACAAACAAACAAAAAAACAAACAAATGCCTCCAGTAAAGCCACTATGCTTCATAACATGCATATGCTGGCATTATTTGACATAAACCTTTAAAGTGGATTAAGTTGAAATTGCTCAGATTTGCAGCTAATCTAAACCTTTTTGGAAAAGTAACCTGTGACCTTAGCTTATTACAGGCTGTGCCTTTTAAATAACAAGCATTCCATACCTAGATTTGTGTTTGTACAAGTTTGCCATTTCTGCAAAGCATACTGTTTTTTTTTAATAAATTTCAGTGTCACAAATAGGCTCTCACTCCCTCCTCCACTCTATTCACCGTCGCCGCTCCTATGAAATAAAAAAGACACTGATGATTGAATTCTACGTTGAACCTGCTGAGCTCATAAGAGAATTACACAGAGCATTATTTTGGAGACCAGAGGTAAACATGACAAATTTGAGTCATTTTTCCCTGCCACCAGCATGCACCAGTCCAAACATAGCATGGTCTTTACGAGGTTCAATTTTAGGGGTTATGTAAGGTGTGAAACATTCTGTCACTGGCTTGGAAGTTCACATATCAGCAATTTATTCTGTGTTTTAGTAGAAACCTGTTCATATTGTACCTTTCACTTTTGATATATAACATGCATGAATAATAACACAATTAGTGCTGTGTGATAATGTGATGAAATGACAACATCATTTTTTTCCTAAAATATATTGTGCTCAGTAATTCTCCTGAAAATATACAGCAGATTCACACTGCATTAAATGTCCCAGGAAACCAAATTTAACAAATGCTCATGACAATGTTGACAGTCTTTCCCCTACATCAGTGGGTTGTTAATTTTCTAAATAGCCTATCTGATGAATCTCCTGCATATTGTTCCTTGAAAAAAGAAAAAGGACAAAACTACCCAAAACCACTCTTGTATTAAACCAGTCTCACATGAAAATGCATAATAGTTACAATGAACTGCAATGTAAAATGTAGTAATACCACAACAAAGGTTGTAAAATTGTGATACACCAGCGTTTTTTTGTATCGCAGCCCAGTAGCTATCTTTATAATGTTTAGTGTCCATTGGAGTCAAATGGAAACACTAAGATGGTGATGGTTGGGGTGCACGGATGGGTCCAACAAACACCTTACTTTCATGCAG